ACTTCTCTGAGCCACAGATGCCCCATCTGTCAAATAGAGGTGATGACACAAAGCCTAAAGTCCGAAAGATTAAATGAGTCGTGTGTAGGAAGCACCTGCTGTGGTGCCTAACACATAATGCTCACTAAAAATGCAATATTATGTCAGAGAGCTGACCGACAAGGCTACTGCAATTAGCTAAGCTAAAGGTAGTGAGGACCTGAATGCAACCACTATGACAGAAGGAGACAGAAAGAGGACACTGTGAGCCATTCCTCACTTGACTGGGGATGGCACTGGGCAGGGGTTTGCCTTTCCGCAAACCTCTAGGAGCTCAGCTCTCCTCTTGTCCTCCAACAAGGCCCTGACTCTCTCCTTCTTCATCGGCCTTCCAGGGATTTTACTGCCTACTCTCTATGGACATCTTCTTGGTCCGAGCTTATCCATCCTCAGTGTGGCTGTCACATCTCACACAGGCTGCCAGTGCCAAGGCAAAGGTGGTGCTGGCTGAGCCTCCAGCTGCCACACCCAACACAGCAGTCCACACCAGATGGGTTCCATGGAGGCTTCAGATGACACGTGTGGCTCTGTTCAGCTACCAGGTATATCTTGCCGCTGGAGAGGGCCATGAGGAAGGAAGTGCTGGGAGATGGCCCTTAAAGACTGGCTGGCCAGTGCCTGCATTTTATCACTCGCTCCTGGGGAAGTTAAAATCCAGCGACCCCTTGGACACGGCTTTCCAAATCGCCCAGCCCAGGCTGCCAGCTCTTAACAGTTTCCACTGAGGGGTGGTCCAGCACTGTTAGAGGAGTGAAGGAGCCAGCAGTTTAAGACACAGGTGGAGAGCTTGCTCACCAGTCCTTTTGAGAGCATGTGCTCCTCAGGTGGCCGGCAGTGATGGAACTGACGGCAGTTATTAAGGGCTAAGGCCCCTGAGCCACCACATGGTAGTATCAGTAGTATGTGAGTGTGTGTGGGGAAGCCATTCATCTCTAGTCTCCAGATGCCCTTGTAAGAACGTCTAGTTCAGATGCTGTTTGTGTCTGAGGATGCCTCCATTTCTGTCCCCTCTTCCACGGAGTTAACTCAGCCCTTTGCAGTTCTTTGATTTCTGTGGGGTAGGAAAGAAAGTTGTTTTTCATTTGCTTGAAGACAGCCCCTTGACAAGTCTTCTGTGTGTGCCTGAGCTTACTGGACAGATAATCTTTTGAGATGCTGTCAAGGATTGGAAGCAACACAGGGAGGGAGCAGAGGCCGTGGGGTACACCCAGCAGAGAAGGGGCCTCAGGCCAGCAGTGAGACTGCTGGTGGGCCCTTGCAGACACCTGCCTTGGCATCTCTGTGGACAAAGGGATGGGGCTCCCAGAGGAGTGGCTCCATTGTTCATTGAACATGCCAGGCCTGAACCCCAGCTCAGCCCATCTGGGCAGAGATTCTTGGGCCCCACGGAAGCAGAGGTCTTTGGGTGCTGGACAAGGAGGAACTCAGCATGACATGGGCTAAACATGAGAGGTCCTTCCTTGCCCTGCCTCCTGAGCTCCAAGGAGCAAGTTCCCAGGACTTGAGTGACCCTGAGGAGGGACAGCAACCTCAAAAAATGAGATTAAATTCGCTGTCCACCAATCAGAAAGGGGCTCCATGTTGGATATAGGCTGGTTTATAATTTTTTCAAAAAATAGGGCCTCTTTTGCCTAGGTGGGATTATGAAGGAAGACTCACCTCCTATTGCAGCCCTCTCAGGACCACACAGGTGCACCCTGAGCCAGGTCACCGTGAGCACAGTGCAGGTGGGACCCTTCTGAGCCCCACGGGCAGCTTATCCAGAAGGAGTTGAGCAGAACCTGGCGCTGAAGACTACTTTAGTTATGGCACTGAGGCCACATTCACAACCACAACTACATCATCCACTTCCTGAAGCATCTTTCCAGTTTGGCCTTGACCATCAGAGCTGGGGGAAAATCAGCTTCCCTGTTTCCCCACAGCCAAGGAGTGCAATAGCTTCTTCCTCCCACAAAGGAAGTGCCACATAAGTGGTAGGATTCACTGTGGTTGTGTCCTGAAGTGCAAGGGACTCTCTTCTCCCCCCTTTTCCCTCTGGACCTGCCTTCCCTTAGTGAAAAGAATCTGTACCTGCAGAGAGAGATTTGCCTTGCTTTAGAAATTCACAGGCCATAGCTTGGACTCTGAGATCTCTGATTCACACAAGAATAAACAGACTCCGTTAAATAAAAAGCTTCATGTGCCCCTTAAATCTACCTGAGTACCACAGTGGCTGCAGCAGAGAGGATAAGGCCAGGCTCTCCAGGTGCTGGCAAGTTGTCAACCTTTGTGCACATTTAGCAAACACAGAGAGAGCAGACTTGTTTCTGCTCCTGGTGTTTTCTCTTACTGTCATTTAGCCAAGCAAGTTTCTCATCATGGAATCAATAAAGGGGGCAGAATGAAAACCACAAAATGAAAATCCTCAGCTTCTGGCAATGAAAAGGGAGCCTAACACCATCCAAAACACCCTCTCACATGGTCCTGTCCCTGTGTATGACTGAGGGAGGGTTACAAGCTGAGCAGAGCTCACCATGACCCCCTGGCTCCTCAGGGCCTTTAGGGACCAGCAGCCCTTCAGGGATCACTGCACTCAGCCCATGAGGCCAGGACACATGATGGGACAGGAGTGCTGGGATGCCCGCTTGGCTCCACTCTGCCCTGGCCCACCTGTGGCGCCCCAGTGAGCTCATGTCTGCAGTAACCTCGCCGCTCATAACTGGGATGCTGAAACAAACCTGGAAGCCAAGTACAGGTGAGAAATGAAGGCTGTCTCCTCAGGAATGTGCTGCCAACTAAACCTGCCTCACAGATGGCTCCAGTGGATGCTGGGACTACCACCCTGGGCCGTGTGGGCCAGCCTCCAGGCTGAATGGCTCTGCAAGCATCTACTGAAGGCCTACTGTGCACCAGGCAGCAAGCTGGGTGCTGACAAGACAAGGAACTAGAAGGCGCAATGGAAAGCAATCTGTCCCAGACACACTTTCAGAAGCAGGCTGTCAGAGAGAGAACCTGGAGGTTCTGCTGGTGATGCCTGGGACTGCCCTTTCCCATGCCCCACCAACCCCATGCCCTGCCTCTTCCTTACCACACACTCCAAATACCTCTGAAAGCACCCCTCAGCCCAGTCTTCTTCTGGGTTCCTCCTCCTTGACAGCTGGCAAGTCAGGCCAGTTCATGTCCCCTGCCTCTAGGGCAGCTGGACGGTCCACCATGACGTAACATGCAGGGCAGACATGAGGTTTTCTGATGCCACTTCTGGCATGGGATATAGCAGGGGCCACAAAGGGAGGTCAGAGCTATGTGAGAGGACAGGTTCTCAGCAGAGATCATTCTCTAGGTGCATCACCTGCTGGAGGCAAGTTCCCAGGCAGGAAAAACTAACTTTGAAGCCAGACCTCAGCTGGTCAGGGTCTTCCTCTCTCAAAAGGGAAGTGTCCCAAAGGCAGAAGTGGGAAAAGATTGAAACCTAAATGTAGTCTACGTGGTATGTAGTTAAAGCAGTCAGTCCTCCAGTAGCTCTGTGTATTTGTCAGGATCCAAACAAACAGGCTTTTATAATATTGGGGTGTTATTTTTCTCATGTAATGAAAACTCAGAAAGTAGGCAGCCCAGGGCCTGATCTTGGCTCCAAATGCTCAAGAACTAGGCTTCTTTTACTCTTCTATCCAGCTTTCCATAGTGTGCATTTCCTATCTCATGGCCACAAGATGACCGCTGTACTCCAGTATCAGATCCAAATTCCAAATTGGAAGATGGTCAAAGGACCAGTTGAATCTCTGTCCCTTAAAGCAGCTTTCCCAGGAAGTCCCACACAACTTCTCATTAGCCAGAACAGTGGCACATGGTCACTTCTATTGGCAAGAGAAGCTGGGATATATTTTCAGTTGACCATTTGCTTTGCCACAATAACATCAGGCTTCCTTAAATAAGGAACATAAACTGGTTTTGAACTTGATATTTCAGGAAGAATGTGTGGGCCAGAGGTGGAAGAGGGGGAACAATGGCTCCTAGTTGCTTCTGACTAAAGGCTCAGTGGGCTGGCTGTGGCTGGCAGTTGGGCAGGTCACTAGGCTGCAGCAGGAATGTCAGCATTCTCTGCAGAAGGATGAGGACGGCACAGAGGTGGCAGAAACTGTCACCAGCCAACGTTGTTTCTTAGCCACATGTAAGATAGAACTCCAACACGTTGACCTTGAACCCGCTGACAACCGCCACTGCACTGTTCTTCTGGGTCCCCTAAAGGCAAGGGTCCCTATTCATATTCCTAGGATGCTAATCAACTGGCTAGGGGTTTTTGCTCAGTTCATATAGAAGCCATGAACTGGCAAAATGTAGCTCTTTTAGTGTTAACAGCCCTGAGCTTTGAATGCCAGAAGCTATTAATTCTTTTAGTGTTAGTGGTCTCCTTGCTGATCGGAGCTAGCAGCTGCTGGCAGGCCTTGGGAACTCTTGGCCACACACAGAAGCTCCCAGTTATTCTTCATTGCTGTTTGTTGCTCTCTGGCTGCCAGCTGTCTTCAATGTTACCAGCCCCAGCCATTGGCCAGTTAGTGACAGGGACCCTTGGTATTAATGGAAACAATAATCATGAGTAGACGGAAATACTCATACGCCATCCAGAAGAGGCTTTATTAGAATCACTGCAGCAGAGGGGAAACAGCGGACTTACTGACCTAGACCTACCTCATATGGGGAGGATATGGGGAGCAGAGGGGCCCCTAGTGGATCTCACTGCAGAAGGCAGAAGAAGGGGCGGAGTCATCTGTGTTTGGACCCTGACCAGAGCCTACAGCCTCAGAATCAAAGTACCTGTTGTGGCCGGGCGTGGTGGCGCACGCCTGTAATTTCAGCACTCGGGAGGCTGAGGCAGATTGAGTTCGCTGTGAGTTCGAGAGCAGCCTGGGCTACATAGTGAGTTCCAGGTCAGTCTCAACTACACAGTGAGACCCCGTCTCAACTTCCCGCGCCCCGCAAAGTACCTGTTGTGCAGCACAGGGCGCCTCATTCCCATCTCAGAATCTGTTTGCCAGACGTACTTTCCATTACCAAGCGAGTTCCTCATTCAGCCAACTTCAGAGTATCACTTGTTCGAGAGCAGCCTGGGCTACATAGTGAGTTCCAGGTCAGTCTCAACTACACAGTGAGACCCCGTCTCAACTTCCCGCGCCCCGCAAAGTACCTGTTGTGCAGCACAGGGCGCCTCATTCCCATCTCAGAATCTGTTTGCCAGACGTACTTTCCATTACCAAGCGAGTTCCTCATTCAGCCAACTTCAGAGTATCACTTTTCTTCCAAATAACTTCACCTGTTTAACGTCTGCCTCATTCCTAATGCAGGCTGACCTCAACCGCAGGCTGAAGCAGGGTTGGCACCTCCGGTTCCAAAGCCTAGCTCTGGGAACAGTTCCTTCAAGAAGCAGGCAGGACTCCCACGCTGGACTAGGGGACCCTCCGGTGGGGGACCCTCCCGCAGTACTGTCATCTACAGTACCGAGGGGGCGTGTGAGACGTCCCGATCCTCCACGGAACCGAGGTCAGGTTCTGGGGATCGGCTTCTTCACACCTTCCGCGATTACAGAGCCTCTAAGCGGTAAGAACGGGTGAGAATGGCTTCGGCCACCAGCGCCGTCTGCTTCCTGTGCTGCAGAGGGACCGCTCTGGAAGAGTCACGCTCCTCCCAGCGTTTCGGCGGACAGGCAAATTTAGCCAGCCGGACCGCTCTCTGCCGCCGTCTACCGGAGCGCGGCAGCTGCGCGTCGGAAGGGTGGCTGCGTTGCGAGGGCGCAGGCGCAGGCGCAAGCGCGAGCCAGCGTCTTCCGAGCCACTCTGCGCGTGTGCGCCGCTTGCGCACCGCTTGGAGGGCCTTACGCAGGTATGAAACCCGCTGGAGAGGGCAGGTGGCTTTAAGAGCGCCCCAGAGAGAAGGTGCTGGGATTTCGTGTCCTGTAGGTTTGGGGACTCTGGGATCCGCTCCTCCTGGGCGACTTTGAGGAGCTGGGAACGTCGGTTTTGGCTTGGGGGCGTGACCTGAGCCCGCCTCCCGGGGCTGGGAGTGGAAGAGGATGGGGATCGCTGAATCCTGTTATTAATTTGTTGCTTGTTTGTCCGGGAAGGTTGTTTGGAGGAGAACACAGAATTTGCAAATAGTGGAGAAGGAGGGGTAAGGCCAGACCAGGGGAACCTCGCGTTCCAGGACGGTGAGGAGTCGGGCAGATTAGCAGAAGGCAGGCCAGCTTCCCCCCGCTGTTTGTAGTACAGCTGTAAACGGAGGGACCCGAAAGAAACTGTGCAGGTGTTGGACCCACACTCAGGACAGCACTTTGTCATTTTTGTGTTTTTCGCTTTTCTGTAGAAGCGATTTCTTCTGTCCTGGCCAAGTATGGGCAGTGATGCCCGCTCGCTGCTTCCCATCTAGGACATGACACAAGTCGGACATTGCAGCCATGGGGTCTCAGCATTCTGCCTCTGGTCACCTTCCCTCCTGCGAGCAAAAGAAAGAAGATGACAGGGAAGATTTCCTGGCTGATCCTGAGCAGGAAGAAGCCATCGCCCAGTTTCCGTACGTGGAGTTCACAGGAAGAGATAGCATCACCTGTCTCACCTGCCAAGGGACAGGCTACATCCCAACAGGTGAGAATCTGATGATCAGGGAAGAATTGCTTTCCCCACAAAACTTTGAAGTTGCCCTGAGAGGTGCCTGTGTCCGTCCAACAGCTTTCTTCTAGGCGGCAGCGTCTTTATAATCATAGACTGAATTGGAGCCGGCTCTGCTGACTTGATCAGCTGGGGTAGATTCCACAACTTTTCTTGGTCTCCTTGTATTTGATACCCTTTCTTTTCTTTACTTTCGCTTGTATTCATTTTTATTTTCTCCTTCCTGTGATTTGGAGTTTTCAGTTTGCTTTGTGTTGTGGAATTCGTTGACAGGCATGTTTATCGCTCTTGCTAATAAGGACTGGCCCAGCTTTATAGGGGGACCATTTTGAATGCTTCATTGCGAAAACAAGAATGAATTATTAACCTGATGTTTGTAAATTACATCAGGTGAGGAGAAAGGGCAAATGCTCAGGAGTGGAGGCTGGATTAGGTACGGGATTGTCTATTAACTAAACTTGCCCTCTGAAAGTTGTAGCAGTTTAGATGGAGAGTCCTGCAGTTTAGTGCTCGCAGAAACCTTAGGCACCATTTGCGCAGATTCTCATATTAAAGGTGAAGTAGAAGTGTCTTTGAGAGGTTCGATGACTGCCACAGCCACGCAGTAAAGCCAGAAGAAGATCCCAGATTTCTCAACTTCTGTGGCACTGACCTGGCTGCAGGGATATTTTATAACTTGGGGTACTCCGTATAGATGCACTGTTTCTTTTTCTTTGGACTTGTAATACGAAACTAGTATTTTTGAAAATGCCTAATTGCGGAGGGATATTTGCCATGGCAGGCTGTAGTAAGAGACACCAAGAAAAGTACTGCCAGTATGTGGGCTTCACTAAATGAATGTTTGGTTCTTTTCTAGAGCAAGTCAATGAATTGGTGGCTTTGATCCCACACAGTGATCAGAGATTGCGCCCTCAGAGAACGTGAGTTACCTGCTCCTCTGTTGATACCTATGCCTGTCCCTCATTTTTTTTTTCATTAAAGTTATTGGTACTTTTTAGGTAAACAGTATGGTTACATTCACCATTGGGATCTTGTACCCTTACATGATGTGTCTTGGTTCTCATTGTTTCTCCATCTCCCTGCCCTCCCTTCATGCTCTCCACTCTCCCCTATTTACAAAGACTTTGTTTCCTTTTTTTCCTTTTTTCATGTTTTTTCTTTTTCCTTCTTTCCTTTTCCCTACCCTTCCCACTTCCCCTACTCCTTTAGACCTTTACTTCCTATTTCACATTATCAATTACACAATTTGAACCTTATTTACTCTTGTAGTTTTTCACACCAGAGAAACTATTCGTTATTTACACATGTGTGTCCTATTTATTTCACTTAAGAGTATGGCCTCAATGTGCATCCACTTAGCTATAATTGTCTCTAGTTTCTCATTCTTTATGGCTGAGTAGTACTCCATTTTATAGAAAAACCACATCTTCTTTATCCAGTCTCCAGTTGATGGGCAACTGGGCTGTTTCCAAGTTTTAGTTTGTTCCTCATTTTTAATATGGATGAATGCCAGTTAATTCTATGAAAACTATATCTGTTCTTGTAAACACATTTCCTTGGTTACAGTTTGCCAAAGGGATCTCTCTGCCCCCCATCACAATCTGGGGAAAGAAAATTGAAGCTATATGCATTCTGAGGGCCAAGTAAGGGAAGGGGCTGGGGAGGTTAAGTGTCCTGGGAGGTGAGGAAATACCTTTGTCCATGTAGCTCCTTTCTTCAGCTTCTGTTCACAGGGTGCGAGTAGTGTCCAGATGGGTTGAGAAAGGCTTCTCCCACTCAATGCCTTCTTGCCTGTTTTCCTGTTTCTTTATGCTTTCACTTTCCCCTTCATCTGGCTTTGCATGTAATCTTGACTAATGTGGATGTTGATATCCACCTGCCTCATTTGTCATGTGCTGGATCTTTTGCAGTAAACAGTATGTTCTTCTGTCTGTCCTGCTGTGCCTCCTGGCATCTGGTCTGGTGGTTTTCTTCCTGTTCCCACATTCGGTCCTTGTGGATGATGACGGCATCAAAGTGGTGAAAGTCACATTTAATAAACAGGACTCTCTCGTAATCCTCGCCATCACGGTAAGACTGGGTGCCTTGCTTCCTGCGTAGTGTCCCTGCCACTCTGGGACCCAGCACACACACACTTGTTTCCTTCCCCTGATGCAGGCCACCCTGAAAATCAGGAACTCCAACTTCTACCCTGTGGCAGTGACCAGCCTGTCCAGCCAGGTCCAGTACATGAACACAGTGGTTGGCACATATGTGACCACGAATATCTCCCTCATTCCCCCTCGGAGTGAGCAGCAGGTATGCTGTTTGTCCAAGCTCTGCTGTAGCGTAGGAGAGTGGGTGCTGTGGGAATGCTATAGCTGGGTTTCTTTCCTGTGCCTCTTTGTTTGAACCTAAAGACACTGTTGGATGGGGAAGACCTGATGGATATTGTGATTATGAACAGTTATAGAGAAGGGGGAAGAAATAGCTCTAGCGTTTAAGTATTTGGAGCCAAAAAATTTGTAAGAGAAAGAGACTTTCCACAAATCCAAAAGAGGCGGTATTATAGTCTGAGGTCCATTAGCCTCAAATGGGAAGATGCTGGGGATTTAGCTCAGTAGTGCTGCTACCTGCCTTGAAAGTGCAAAGTCCTGAGTTGGACCCCTGGTACCAAAAAAAAAAAAAAAGGAAGAGGTCTGAAGCATTTCTTAGAGGCTCATAGACTGTATCAAGGACAGTCTTAGGGACATGTTTTGTATGTGGTAGAAGAATGGCCTAGGGACTGTGGGTTACTGAGAAGAGTGCTGTCTGTGCCCATCTTCCCTGGTTGACTTGGTGTCTTTTCAGGTGAATTTTACTGCGAAGGCTGAGATGGGAGGACCATTTTCCTATGTCTAGTAAGCACAGTGTTCTCTGTATGTGCACTTTCCACCACATAAATGGATTCAGAGTGATACTCAGTGGACTGGAGCCTGGCCCTGCCTGAAGTCCCAGCGTTGGTTGGCCTGTGGGATCCTTCCTTAGCTTTGACCGTCTTTATGTTTGTTTGAAAAAGATGTCATTTGATATGTGATTAAAAGTGTTTGAATTTCTAAAAGAACATTAAGCCACTAGAAACATCACCAAGCTGCAGTGTTTCTGTGATGGGCTCGACAAGATAGAAAAGGGCGTCGGTGCGGAAAGATGAGACTGACACTCGTGGTGGCTCAGACTTAGTGGACGTGGTCACCTAGAACGGGGTGGGTGTGGGGGAGAGAAGGCACCCCAAGTAATTTGACAGTGTGGCTCAGCACTCCTCTACTGGTTCTTTTGGTTTTTTGTTTTATTTTATAGAAAATTGACCATTCCCGTGTTTTCTCTTTGGTAGCTTCTTCTGCACAGTACCTGGTATCCTGGTGCACAACATAGTGATCTTCATGCGGTATGTCACTTGTTTACCTCTCTCGATGGCCTTTGTGTTTGAGCCAGAACCATCAGGTCCTGTGAACTTTTAGTCCTTTGTCAGAGAGGTGTAGCCAAAGAGGGACTCCCATTCTCACAGCAGACCCAGGACACCCTTGGGGTTCCCTTGATGTGGTAGCCAGATGCCCTGCAAAGCCACAGTGAACAGTGGAACATGCGATTTTCTCCATGAAATGGGGTCTGGTTTGATTAAACATAAGGGATCCCTTCGGAATCCTAATGAGACCAGTGAAGAACAGAAGAGCTTTCTCAGGGCATAAGTACAGACATGTGACCAGACTGACTCGTTAGCCACCCGGGTCACTGCAAGTCATGGATCTTTAGGGTTATGTTGGACCATGACTGTTCTGTTTGTAGGTGACAGGCTCTGCTGTAGACATCTGAAGTATGAGGATTACAGTGAGGTTTATCAGCCTCAGCACAGTAGACATTTTGGACCAGAGAGTTCTGTTGTAGGGGGCCGTGGACATGGAAAGGTCTTCTGATATCCTGGTTATATAACCATCAAGATTTGTTGGCCAGGGATGTAGCTCAGTGGTTCCACCGCCTTGTGCCTTGCAAGCACAAGGTCCTAAGTTCGATCCCTGGTACCAAAAAAACAAACAAACAAACAAAAGGGTCCACAGATATTGTTGCCTGAACTTGCAAGAAATTGGGCAGGTATTTTTTGCTTATTTCATCTCTTCTTGGTTTTCCTTTGTGTAGAACTTCGGTGAAGATTTCATACATCGGCCTCATGACCCAGAGCTCCTTGGAGACGCATCACTATGTGGATTGTGGAGCAAATTCCACAGCTGTGTAGCACCTGCTCTCAGCATGGTTCTCCATGGCAGCACCTGTAGAAGAGAGCCCAGCATCTGTTCGCAGGGCCAGAGTTCACCACTGACCCCAGGTGGTTGAAGCAGAGGAGGAATTGGCTCTGTTACCTCCCAACAAACACCTTTCTGCCACTTAGGGGAAGTCTGTCCAGCCCCATGTGTGTTTCCCAGAGCCAGTAGAATCACTGCCCAGTGCCTAGCCTGTGCCCAGCAAATAGTTGGCACTTGATAAAGGTTTGAAGAATTTAATTCAGGTCTCCTCAGCCTTTCTTGAGGCATGATAAAGTGGAGCTATACCGTGGGTCTGAGTGGTCAAGCCAGATAAGACAGCGCAGCTGCAGCTCAGTCAGTGCCTCATGGGCAGAGATGGCAACCGGGAGGGGCCCCTGCAGCACCCAAAAGGAGACAGCACGGACCCACTTGATATGCATTTGTTTCATCTGTTCCCAGATGTCTAGGAGACAGCATTTTTTTTGAGGGGGAGTCTCCTGTAGAAAGTTAGTTGTTTCTACCAAGAATCTTTGTGAGCCTTGACTTACCCTTCATCCATTGGCTGGAACATGGATTGGGGATTTGATAGACAAATAAATCCTGCTTTTGATTGATTTGTGTCTCCTTCAATTGCCTGGGGAACCATAGAATAGTTGCCTGCCAAGTGGGTCAACCCCGAATGCACTATGGGAAAGAGAGAGAAGGACACCTGACCGTGGTCTCTGTCCCTGTGAGCACTTGTTGCAGCAAACTGACCCACTTTCCGCCTGCCTCTCCAGGCACTTGGCTGCCCAGTTGCTCTTCCAGAGCAGGGCACACAGTGCCCCCTGGAGGTTGGAAATGGTGGGACAAAAATACCGGAAGAGGGATCTTGGCTTCCCAAACTGGCTTCCATCCTGAAGGATAGGACTGTGGTTTAAGTTGGAAGTTTCTTTAACTGCCTGCACCGGTTTGGCCAAAGGGTGGCTACAGTTGCACGGTGGCAGACATGGAATCTTCAGTGGTTAGGTCCAGGACTCAGCCGAGGTAGGTAGGTGCCTGCCCTCGCAACAGGGGAGGCTTACAGAGCCACAGCTGGTGGCCGGTTGTATGTGAGGTTTCTTTCTCCTTCCTTAGTTTGATTTTCAGTATTTCCTTGATGATCTTTACACTCTGAATCTTCAAGCTAAGGCTGAATTTCCTGTTTGGCTGACAGCATCGTTGAGTGACACAACAGAGGGTTGAGCATGGGGCTTCAGTGCAGACTGGACTCTGACGCGTGTGCACAGGTGTGTGACAGTGGTCACTGCTGACGCGGGACGGCCACCACTTGCACAGGGCAAGAACACGCCCTGAACATGTAAAGATTCGTATACACTGCTGTATTTGCTCTGTAGTTTTCCCATTTCCCAAATGGTCTCTGTACCATATTTTTCCATGTAATTTTTAAAAAGCTGCTCCTACAGACACCTCACTTTTGAATAATTTTTTGTGACCATGTGCTTCAGTAGTATTCCTGATATTACCTTAAAATCTTGTTAATATTTAAATGGCAGCAATTGAGTTTTAAACATGTCAGCTGGGTCTCAATATTACCAATTCTCGTATCTACTTATATTCTTAGTGTCCAACACTGTACCTTGGGCTGCTCTGCATAGTTTTCTCATGATAGCTGTCAATTCTTGAACAACTATCCAGAATTTCCTTTCAGCAGCCCCAATTTAGGGTAAGTGATTGACTCAGGCATCACGACTGTCACCTCTGTGTTACCAGTGGATGGAACTTTGCAGAGTGGCCGGGTGTGGTGGTGCACACCTGTAATCCCAGAACTCAGGAGTCTGAGGCAGGAGGATCGCTGTGAGTTGTAGACCAGCCTGGGCTACATAGTGAATTCAAGCCTAGCCTGAACTACGTAATGAGATCTTGTCTCAAAAAAAAAAAAAGTTTGCAGAGTGTTTCCTGGAGGTGAGGCCCTGTGACTGATAGCTTCTCTGTTGTGAAAGCTTGACCTGCAGTGTGACCTCTTCTTTTATTTTAAACTATTTATATTGGGTCACTTGGCCAAAGACTTACAGCATACAGAAATCTCCATTTATATGCATACTCATTCCATGTATTTATTGAACATCCACCAAGTACCAAAAATTGCAATTTCTGATGCATTCTGTGCAGAGACTTAGCTAGAAGTTTGTGACTCCACTGCAAACTTTTACACTGGCCAGGCCACTGTAGGCTGCAGTTTACTTTCACCAACTTTGCTGCAGCCCTGGTTGCCCCACAGCCGGACTCCCAAGATCTGTGGGTTAACTATTCCAGGGATGCTAGCCCAAAGTATGGAACAAATCATTAAGCTATTACTGAGCTATTTGTTAAAAGCTTTGCATGAATCAGTTTGTGTCCCAGATGTTTTTGTTATTAGGCAGAGTAATCATTCTTTTCCCCTATAAGTAAAAGTCTTATTACTTTGTCAGCACTCCTCTAAGTTTCTGTGTCCCTTAACTTAGAAAGAAACACTAGGTCAAGTGTGGTGGCACACACCTGCAATCCCAGCACTCTAGGAGGCTGAGGCAGGAGAATCACACGTTAAAGCCTAGCCTAGACAACTTAGTGAGACCCTGTTGCAATATAAATATTTTTAAAGGGCTGGGGATGCAGCTCAGTGCAGAGACTCTATGTTCAACCCCCAGCACCACAAACAAAAAGGAACACCGTGTCAGAAGTTGTTGCATGATTTACCCAGGACCCAAGGGGCTTGAAAGTAATTCTTCGCTTGTGCTCAAACAGCTGGATCCCAATCCAAAGCCTTCTGGTGCCACTTTCATAGAGAGCAGGAAGCTCACGACAGGAAAAGTGACCTGACCAAGCCTTCCCCGTCAGTGAGCTGGCTCTGTCTGTTCCATCTGCTCATTCGGGAATCTGTCTGACAGGTACTATGGCTGGAGAGAACTTCTGTCCTTCCCGGGGCCTCGGGGAAGGGGAATCAGCAGTGATTCTGGTGTTCAGGCTGGGCTGGACACAGGAGCAGTAGGAGTGGGCAGCCAGACCAGTGCGTTTGGCCCTGACCACAGACACAGGCAGACACAGAGCCTCCTGTTCCACCCGCAGCCCCTGCCCCACGAGCTCCTCCTGCTGTTTGTCTCCTCCACTCTCTGTGGAGCAGTTGCTAGTATCTCTAGGTTTTACTAGGTGCGGGAAAAGGGTAGGCTGCCAGAATCACCGGGATCCCCATGGGTTTCTCTTCTAGAGGTCTAAGAGCATGGCCACCATCTACTGAACAACTTTATTCCAAGTGGGCAGGGTAAGCAAGGCAGCAGAATGGGGCTGGAGGGTTGGAATATCAGCTCAGCCTTACAGCTCCTCACAGCGTTCAGGGCCTCTAAGCATCTGCATCTCTCACCTCTCTCCCCTTACCCTCATTAGTGCTCTTGGTAGATGGAGGCCTTGTTTGTTTTTAATTACGAGCTAGTTAGTCTTTGTTTACAAAATTGTTGTATCATTTTACTCCTTTCTTTCGCCATGAGTTAGTCATGGTAAGATACACTTCATTCAACTGAATGTACATGAGTTGAGTTTCAATGCAAACAAATCCAACAAAATTGTGTTTTGTTTATTTTTATTTCTTTAATTCAGAAACTTTCAGTCTTAATCTAGAGGAGGGAGGGAGGGATGGGAGGAAGGGGCAAAGAACTCATGGCTCTGGTTTATCAGCAAGGGCAGGTATCTTTTGGAATCCGTGTTATGCTATTCTGCCATTATGATTCTGGTTGCTTTCCAGACACCTGTCCCTTTCACGTGGCGCCACCACCAAGGCCCTCTCAGGTAAAAGGGCACGACTTGTTCATTTCTGCCACACGTACCCAAAGCATCGGAAGGGACAACTGGTGGCAAGGAAAAGGAGGGCTGTTCATTTGTAAGTCTGGTGATCAGAGGTCTGTGGGAGGCTTAAATGCAGACCCAGGAAATGAAAGAGTGAGAAAGAAATGAGAAGGTAAGAGGGGCAGGGGTTAACTCTCCCTCCTGTCCTTGACCTAGAAGTCTTATAGAAAGAGGAAATGATCCCCCAGATTACTTATGTACACTTCTCACGGTTCCTGACGAAATCACCCTCCCTCCACCTCACCTTTCCTCCGCGTGTTTCTCACCCAGCAGGATATGGCCTGCACCGGTCTCACCCCCACCCCTGCAGGGCATCCTGCCTCTTACACTATCTGCTGTAAAGCTGAGATCAGTGTTTGCTCCCCATAGCAAGGCCATCCCTAGGTGTGCCTCCCTTCCCAAATCCTATACTACGGTTGAATATGGAGAGTGTCCCTCAAAGGTCATGTGTTAAAGGCTTGGCCCCTAGGTTGATGCTATTTGGAGGTGGTGAAAACCACGAGAGGTAGGGTCTTGTGGAAAGGTCACTGATCCCATCCTTTCAGAGGACAGTGTGGGCCTCTGTGGGACCCTGGCCTCCTGTCACTCCCTGCTTCCTGGCTCATGATGTGAGAATGGACTGCTCTAGGGACTGCCATGATGGCAGCCTGAGGAATGCTTGACCTTGGACTGAAACCTCCAGAACTGTCAGCCAAAGAAAGCCTTCTTTACTTCATAGTCAGGTCCTTCATTGTAGCAACAGGAAGCTGACTAATAAATATACTTGGTTTCTGACCCCAGTTCACCGCTGGGTTCCATGCCTGGTCAAGTGTTATAGGAGAGCTAAGTCTGTGTGTATGAGGTCACTAAACTAGGCAGTGTGACTTTAGTGTCCTCACTAGTGGTTGAAAAGTCACCAGAAGAAGGACCTAGGACCCCATTTGGGCATTCGCACAAAATCAAGAATTAACAGAGTAGAAACTCAAGAACAAAACACAAACCAATGTATACTTTCCAATAATTTTTTTTGTTTTTAATATCAATTGACATTTTAAAAAATACAGAGGTGTTTGACACAGAATAGCACCATTGTGTAGGACACACAGTTCCTGCGTCCAGTATCTGCAGGGAGAGCCTTCTTGCCTGGGCTGGGGGCAGTCACTCAAGGGACGTTTGACTCATACCAGTTAGTTTCCTGCCTCTGCCTTGACCCAAAGGTCTTACAGGAAGACAATAAATAAATAGAACACCGAGATTTTATTTTGCAGTCTGCCCAGTTCAGGTCTCTTAGAAAGAGAAGGGAGAACAGTCCAAACTGTGAGAGGGTGGGATGAATGGACATCAGGTCAGGTCAGCCATTCAGTGCAGAATCCTAGAGTGACTGGGATTGGAAAGTACTTGGGTCCTTTGGGTTTGTAATCGATTGTGTTGTTTCTGGGTTCAGGTTTTTACAAGAAGCAGACAGGCCCTATCTCCACGCCAAATTCCTGCTCGGGCCCTCCTATGTCCATGGGTGCAATATCAATGATGGGGAGGCGTGAGGTCTTCTGTGACCGGTACTCGATGACAGTCTTGCCCCACTTACCAGTGTGTTTCTAGGGAGAAAGAGAGGAGATGCTGTTCAGTAGATGCCTTGCAGTCCAGTGCCAGCTTCCCAGGACCCCCAAACTAAGCAACCACAAAGTGTCAACCACCTTTGTGAGTACCCCAGACCTCTTCTTGACTTGCTCAAGCCCTCTCCTCTTCAACTCCTATTCTCGGCAGAGCCCCCCTCCCACAACCTATCCCCTACCCTCTTCACCCTCACAGTGGGCTCCTCATCTATGAGCCCTTCCTCAATATGTGTTTATTTTGGAATGCGTGTGCCCATTCATATTATGTCACAAGTTACTCATCTACAAGAGTCACTGAGGACCAGGCAGGGCTTTATTTCCTCTAAGCCAGGGAGCGGACAAGCTGACTGAACAACATGTACCTCTCCCTCACCTGTCACTCAGCTTGTCTTCTCAACATAACTCCTCAAACTCGCACTGCTGATGATCCTGTCACTTTAGGACAGGAAACCTGCTGCAGGCCAACCCTCGGCCCTATTCCAACCTACCCTACCCTGGGCAGCTCTTCTCACTGGTGCTCCACTCACCGTGCAGCCATCCTTCAGGGCAGTGTATGTGAACCTGCTATTGCCCTCAGCCCGTATCTCCACATCATTGGAGCCCTGGAGGAGCAGGGCCTTCTTGAGGTTGCCAGCTACTTCGTCCAAGTAGGCAATGCTGTTCTTGCAGTGGTAGGTGATGTTCTGGAAGCCCTCCGTGGACAGCAGGCGTAGGAAGGTCATCTGGATGTTGGCAGTGTTGGGAGCCAGGTTGTCATCTCCATAGCTGAACTGTGGGGGTAGAGAGGCAGCTGTGAGGCCTGGTGCAGCACTCACTAGGGTCCAGGGCTTCAGGAGAGCCCACAGTTCAGGGCTCAGGAGTCGAGGGGCTGCTTGGGCAGCAGGGAATGGGTAGTTTTGCCTCCGGGGAGTAGAACAATCTCAGAGAACCTCTTTTCCGACTCTAAATGAGGAACAAAACTCTTCCTCCTCTTTCCTTCCTCTCAGGACCAAAGAAAAGCTGGTGGAGAATTGGGGGAGATACTAAAAACACCCATGGAGAGAAAAAACGAAGACTGAAAAGCCAACTTGGGCCTGAAGCACCCAGATACTCACATGGAAGCCACCATTGATGGTTTCTCCAAACCAGATGTGCTTCTTCTCCTTGGTCTTGCTGCTCCACCAGTTTTTCTTGGGCACATTGGCAGGGCTGGGGTAGACACAGGTCTCACCTGTCTCCATGTTACAGAAGACCTTCATGGCGTCCAAGGTGCACCCCTGATTGGGGTCAATCCAGTAGTCTCCTGCACAGAAAGAGCAGTGCCCCATCAGGCTCAAAGTCCCACAGGGGCCAGGCTGACTCGGAGACAGAGGGCCTGCAGGGAGACTGAGGTTCAGAAAGGAGAAGGAAGACAAAGGACACAGGGCCCAGGAGATCGGGAAGAACACAGGTAAAAAGGGACTGAGAAGTGCCCCCCAGGGGATGGACACCCCCTGCCCAGTCACTGCTGCTGTGGCAGGACAGGTGAGATAGGGAAGCAGCTATCTGCTAGAACTTTCCTGCCCTGTGCTAAGTGGCACCTTCACCTTGCTGCTGAAGGCAGCCATGCCATCTCTGGGGGGGGGGACCCTGTCCTCCAGGCTCACCGCTTTTCCACTCAGGGTGGCAGAGTTTCAAGTCCCGGCAGGTGCGAGCGGGGTTCTTGCGAGAGCCCTCGGGGCTGCGGATGTTCTCAATCTGGTTGTTGAGAGACTTGAGCGTGGCATCAACTTCTACATCATGCTGTCTCAGGGTACCGGCCGCCTGGTCAGCCCGCATGTACTGCAGGGGGTCGGGGCCCTTCTCTCTCTGGCCTAGGCCAGCAAAGGCCGACATGTCGATGCCAGGGCCAGGGGGACCTGGAGGGCCAGGGGGTCCAGGATTTCCAGGAGGACCCTGCAGCAGGAAGCAGAGGTCAGGCATGAACCATGGGGAGGAGCTCCTCCTATGTCTATCCCCAGCTCCTACAGTGTACTAGAGTATCCTCTTCCCAGTCCCCAGGACCAGGCAAACCATAGCATCTCCCAGTTCCTCCTCATCCCCTGCCTCTGAGGAGACCTCGGGATAAAGTACACCATCACCATGAGCTGTAGGCCCACACCTCCACAGAGGTCCCAAGCGCCAGAGAGATTCTGGGGACACCTCAGACAGCGGGGATGGAGTCAGGACACTTACAGCAGGGCCAGTTTCGCCTGAGCGACCGCGGGGACCAGGAGGCCCAATGGGGCCAGGGATTCCATTAGCACCATCTTTGCCAGAGGGACCAACGGGGCCAGGGGGACCCTACAGGCCAGGAGAAAGAAAAGGTAATAAGATAGGAGCAGAGGCTAGCAGGTAGCATGGCTGGTCAGGTGGCCACCCTGATGGGACGGGGACACTGCTGAGCCACAGTGCCTGAAATTGGTCTCTGTTTGGCCTAGGACCAGCAGGCTCCTTTCATGGCTCTCCCACCCTCCTGAGTTCCCGTCTACAAAATCCTGCCATTGGAGGCTGATGTGTAGAGGTGGCCTCATACTCCTCCCAGAAAACTGGCTCTACCTCTCTCTAGGTACCTTCTGGGTACCTGGGAGGCAGCAGTGTCCCCTCCCCTTCAGAACTCCCACCCCTCTGGGAGGGCTCACCCCACCCTCTCACTCCAGCTCACTTACTCTAGGGCCAGAGGGACCAGCAGGACCTGAAGCACCTTGGTCTCCAGAAGGACCCTGCGGAAGAAAGCAGCAAAAGGCAGAGATCAGCACAGACAAACACATAAAACCGCCTACCTGGGGAGGTGGAAAGCAGGTGTGTGTCCCTCCCATCCCCTTTCCTCCTCCTCCTCCTCCTCCTCTTCCTCCTCCTCCTCCTCCTCTTCCTCTTCCTCCTCCTCCTCTTCCCTCTCCACCCTGAGGCAGCCCAGGGGGTTTCTGTCAGTGACCCTGAGCTGCCTGGGCAGCGGACAAAGCACAGGTGGGCTCTGAGCAGCATGAGGCTTTGGGCAGCACCACTCAGACAGCAACACTCACAGGAGGGCCGGGCAGACCCTGAAGGCCAGTGAAGCCTCGGTGTCCCTTCACTCCCCTCTCTCCAGCCTCTCCAGCTTCTCCTTTGTCACCTCGGGGGCCTTGAGGGCCCTGGGAATAAGACGGACATGGATTAGAGCAGATAAGGGCCAGCAAGAGCCCTGCTTGACCTAAGCCTGCCCCTCTGGGCAGCACAGGATACTCTGATACTCACCGCGATTCCTCGGGCTCCAGCTGGTCCTGCAGGTCCCATGGGGCCTTGTGCACCCTGAAGGAAAGAGTGCGAGTGACATGAAGAAAGAGCAATGTGAGGGACAGGGACAGCCCTCTACACCTGACTCTGGGCTGAGCACGGAGATGGCTGCCCGGAGTCCAGAGACCGCCGGACCCAAGGACTGCGCAGGGGAGGTCAATCCTGGCAGTGCTCCACGCTCACATGGCTACCACCTCACCAGCAGCTCCTACTGAATCTAGGATACTCACAGCTTCTCCTCTGTCTCCTTGCTTGCCAGTTGGGCCAGAGGGGCCAGGAGAGCCAGGAGGCCCAGGGGCTCCGGGAGCACCCACAGCACCAGCCTCCCCGCGATCACCCTGTCAGGGGACAGACCTCAGGCTCAGGACAGAACATTCCAGAAGAGGACAGGAGTTCCTTCTAGACAGACAGTGTTAATGCCCGCCTGCCCGCTTGGCTGACCTTTAAGGTCCGGTGCACACAGGGACCCAAGATACTCACCTTGACTCCAGCTGCGCCATCTCTGCCCGGGGGCCCATCAGCGCCAGGGCTTCCCTGGACAAAGAGAAACAAGAATATGGTTAGAGCTGCTCCCTGCCCTGCCCTACCTCACCCTCTTATTCTCCTCCGAAGCCCAGGCCTGTTCTCTTCTGTTCATCTAGCACTTTGGAGCCAAAGCTTTTGCCCTCCTTTTTCCCTGTGTGCAATGTCTATGCTGCTGTGCTGTCTCCCCACCGTGGCCTCCCACGGCACTAGGCTCTTGGGCCTATCAGCTCACATGCCATCCCTTTCTCCATGGTCCTGCGACTTGGCTGGCCTGGGGCAGAGATGCACTGGGCCCTCTCCCTAGTCAGGATCGCACCAAGGGGATTCCCCACTCACCTCTCGTCCAGGTTCACCTGCAGGACCAGTCAGGCCAGGAGGCCCCACAGGGCCAGGAGGGCCTCTGTCTCCAGATGAGCCAGGTGCACCCTGCTTGCCAGGTTCGCCCTGTTGGGACAGAGATAAAGACCATGAGTGCACACCCTGGACACCCCTGTGGGTTCCACAACCTCTCTCAGGGGACAGGCCTGGTGAAGAGACAGTTCTGAGAGTGTGGGGTAGGTGAGAGACATGGGTTGCGAGGTTCCTGCCAAGGCTGGCCACTGCAGCAGCAGACGCTGTCCAGCTGGGTTAGAAGGAGGAGCACCTGTCACTCACCGATGGGCCAGGCAGGCCTGGGAATCCTCTCTCACCACGTTGTCCGGGCAGACCAACGATGCCTCTCTGACCAGCCAAACCCTGGGGCCCCGGAGGACCATCGGCACCCTAGGAGAGGAGGGGCAGGAGAGGAGAGCTGACAGAACTGCAGTGCTCTTCCCCATCCCACAGCCCCTACAACCTCCTGCCTCACAACCATGCACTAGGGACCTTGGCACAAGCCTGGCAAGGACTTACAGAGGGACCATCATCTCCAGGATCTCCCTTCTCGCCAGGGGGTCCTGCAGGACCTTGGAGGCCAGGGTCACCAGCTCGGCCGGCGGGACCACTGTCTCCTCGAGCACCTTTGGGACCATCTTTTCCAGAAGGACCAGGGGGACCGGGGGGTCCAGGGTTGCCCTAAGAGGAACAAATGAAGGAGTGAAAACTTGTCTCTCCCTTCCCCACCAGGCTGCCACTTTGGCCTCAAGGAAGCAGCTCCCCTATGGGGACTTCACTGTCCCACACTAAGGGCAGCTGGACACCCCAACCCAGCCACAGTGACTCTTACATTGGAGCCTGGGGGTCCGACGCGGCCAGCAGCTCCAGGGAATCCAGTGGCTCCCTATGTGAGGAGAGGACAGCTTCTGAATACCTCGGGCCCTCAGGAGGGCCAAGAATCAAACCAGCAGGGGCCAGGGGAGGGGCAAAGGGGGTGTCGCAGCAACAGGGGGCTGTAAATCAGCACGAGGGGAGCTAGAAAGGGAGAAAGATCCCCTCTGGACCATGGAGTCAGGTACCTCCCACCCACAGGGTACATGGGCAGCCAGGCGAGAGCTGGGAACTTCCAGGATGACTGAGCCAGCAGAGAGATGCTCTTGCTTCACCAGGCAAGGAATGGGCTTAGGCTGGGCATGAACAGGACTGAGAGGGGAGGAGAAGGAGGAGGGG